AAGAGGAAGGGAAGCAGATCGAAAGGATAGGACTGTGTTGGGAATGGACGATCAAAAACTGGAAAACTGGGGTGGACGCGCCCGGCATGCTCAGATATCACTCTCTAGGCAGCAACGCACAACGCATGGCGTCAACACAAGAGAATGTGGACCGAGGGAGGAGAAATGTGTGCTAAACCAAAACCGCCAGTTAAGGGCCAAGGTCTAACAGCGGGAAAATACGAAACTCCAACTGTTTTTTTGGCAAATCGTAGGGCAGAAAGGAGGTGATGAAGGAGCGAAGCACGAAGAAGCGAGGAGAAAAAAGAAATTTAGATAATCTCCGATAAGCCTACGATTGGGGAAAGGAAGTCGAGCAAGGACTAGTTTGGGAAAGCTACGGAATATGGAAGGGGGAAGTTGGCGTCACGCCACGGGGAAATACGAGGTGCTAACTGTGTCTTGCAGAGGTGGTGAAAAAACGAAGTGGGAAAGTGGAACGGGGAAGCGAGAAGAAAAGAGAAACTGAGAAAATCCCCGATTGGAGGAGGGTAGTATGTCGAGGATCCATCTGGGAGAGCTGGGAAATATGGGGGGGGTTCAATCTTCGAAGGATCCGCTAGAACACGAATAGTCGGGTGGAAAGTTCCTGGTAACTGCCAGAGGTACGAATGTCTATTGTCCGACGGAAATTCGGAAATTGAACCTGACAGTTGGGAATGTAAGGCGAAGAAGAGCGCATCCCGGGGTCCTTCGAGAGAGACGCGGTAGAAATGTAATTGGAGAAAGGGTTGGCACGAGCGGATTAAGGGAGAGACAACGGCCGATCATGTGGGCAGACCAAAAATTCGAGAAATTTGAAACTGGCACCTTGGGAAGGAAAACTTGGGTAGGAGAATGAGTAACGAAGAGAACGGGCGGGAGATGTCTTGACGAAATACTGGTGGGAGATCGTGGAAAACTTGAAAGGTGACAGAAGAGGAGGTATGAGTGGTGGAAGGAGAAGAGGGAGGATCGATGCGAGGGGAGCTGGAAAAGGTACGATTAGTATATAAGGAGAAGGGAGAGAGAACAAAGGGGGGCACACAAAATTTTCGACTCGCACGGGTTCGCGTCCAATTGCGGATACCATGCTCGACAGTGCGGCGGTTCGCACCAGCGGACGAGAGACCGAGAGAGAGAGTTCTGCGCACGCGTAAGGGGGCATTAGGAGTGCACGAAAGATCATGATAGCGCTCGAGCGTGGGCCAAGAACCGCAAAGCCGGAACGCGGGGAAGAAAGAGGGAGAACGCGCATTGGAGGGAGCTCCTGTCGAGCCCAATCAGCGAAGTTGAACACGCACGCAGGAGGGAGCTACTGTTGAGTGTGAACTACGGAATGGAGAAAGCGCATCGGAGGGAGATCCTGTTGAGCCCAAGCAGCGAAGCTAAGCACACGCCATTGTTGAGTTTGAACTGTGAAACGGAGAAAGCGCATCGGGGGAGCGCCTGTTGAGCTCGAACTGTGAAGTGGAGCACTGTTGAGCTAGGATGACAAAACGGAGGACACGTGTTGGAAGTAGCTTGCTGAGTTCAAACTGGGAGGCAAGCGCGCACGAGGAAAGGTATCTCGACCGAGCGGACGCGAGTGGGCGAGCAAATCAGCTTCATCTGAGTGACGTTAGGAGAGGAGCGAGGCCCCTCGGAAAGAAGGCACGATGCGCGAGAGCACTTGACCTCGTTCGATGGGCGTAGGCAGAGAGGGTAGGCGAAGCGGAAGATATAGGGCAAGGCCAGGATGGGTGTCTGAGGGGGCGGTCGTATCATCACGAGCACTCGGCATGGCACCCCTGCTTAGAACAGTCGGCTGAAAAACGACTGGCTAGCGAAAGTGGTGCGCAGCAAAAAGAAAGAAAGGAGGGCACGTGGTTATGATCGAGAGAGAGAAAGAAAGAGAGAGAGAGGGAAAGAGAATGAGAGGGGGCGTGAGAGGAGCCGAAAGATGGAAAGAGCGCGCAACGGGATTGAAGCGGCTATAGGCCGCGAGTCTGTGGCAGACCGGGAGGGCAACTGCAGAGCCAAAACAGTGACGCTCGCCGAAAGACTTGGCTCCAGAATTCTGGGAAAGGCCGGGGAGTAAGCCAAGCAACTTCGACAGGTGGTGGAGAACTGGCAGTTTCGGTGCATCCGTTTTCGGGCTCGAGTGTTCAGACCGCTGGGTGATAATGCGCGATAATCATCGAGTTTCCTTTTCGATCGAGTGTTTAGACCGCTGAGTGAAAAAGCGCGATCGAGCTACTTTTTCATCTGTGAAGATGCAAGATTGAGTTCCTTTGTCGTCTGTGTGTACAAACCGTTGGGTGAAAACGCGTGATTGAGTTTCTTTTTCGTTAGTGAAAACACGTTTTCTCTCTCCTCCGAACCGGACGTGCAACTTTCATTGCATACGACTCTCCAAGTAAATCTTACAAGGCCGTATTCCCCAATTAAGATTCAGAACTTCGCGTTAGCGCCTTCTCTTTGATCCTTTGATAGGGTCGAGTCCCACGGGTAATGGAAAGTGGAAAAGAGAAACGTTTGAAAACCTTAGCAACACTATTTAATTTGAGTTTTCGACCTAGTGTGGCCATGGCGGAATATTGTATGATATATTGAATACGATGCAGCTTAAAACAAATATCTTTGTCGGATCAATGTAAAGCAATTAATTTAGGATCTCATCTAGGAGATGGTTCACTCAAAATATTCAATAAGAATGCAAGAAGAATGTTTTCTATGGAAGGCTAGTGCACTGCAAGAAATATCACCTTCGGTACCTTCTGAAAAAAGTGGTTATAGTCAAAATACAAAATTGTTAAGATCAAGTTTCTTTGTCATCTGTGTGTTCGGACCGACAGGTGAAAACGCGCGATTGAGTTTCTTTTTCGTCTGTGCGTTCAGACTGCTCGGTAAGAATTTGCGATTGAGTTTCCTTTTCGTCTGTGAGTTCAGACTGGATTCACGATTGAGTTTCTTTTTCGTGTGTTCCGGCCACTGGGTAAAAATTTGTGGTTGCCGATTCCCTAGCTGCTATTTGTGCTTGCGTCTGAGCATCCCCATTTAGGGACGAAAAACATTGGTCGTCGAGTCTCTTCTTCCCATTGGGCTCTACTGTTTGAGGCATTTGTGCCTTGGCTTGGGCGCTCAGGCTTCGGGAGGGGCGAAAGCTCGCACAGCGACGCGGGGCGAATGTTTGGCAAGGCTTGTTTCTGTTGTGCAACCAGACTCTGCAATTCGTTGTCGAGTCGTTTCCCTCAGCCGGCACGATCGTTCGGGCTGTCCGCGTCTTTGGTTGGGTATTCGGGCTCACACTGTAGGAGAAAACGGGACCAGTGGGGAGTTGGTGGGGGATTGGCTCGGCAGGCTGTGGCAAGCAAAAAGTGACCAGTGGGTTGGTGCTGGTTGCCAGAGGTTGCGAGGAGCGGGCAAGCGAGGTCTTGACTGTACCCGAGGAGGGCTAACAGCTACAGCCCATGGTCAAAGCCCAAAGCTAGCCCGACAACGGTACACACATCAACTGTGACTTGCAGAAACATATGCTCTACTGACAACGGAACAGATCAAATCAATGTGGGCTGGATGATAATGGACTTTTTCGACAGTGAACATAATCTCTCTTATAACAAAGTTGAGTTTATGAGCTAAGCAGACGTTTAGCAGGGAGAAAGGAAAAACAGAAAACGAAAGCTACTAACTTTGTTCCGCACAACAAAGAGTGTTGAAGGTTGTTCACCAGCTAATTGTTAGCTCACCTCAACCTTCTTGCACTTGTGAACATAGAAGCATAACATCCCTGAGTTCTGCCAGGCCAACAACAGCCTCTACTTGGTCCGGCCCCTAATAATGACGCCGCATTCCGCCCCACCGCCTGTGCCTGGTCACGCTATCCCTGCAGGACGGGGTTTCCAGCAGGTGTTGCTTGCTCCCCACCAATAGATAGAGCCTCCCCGAGACGCGTTAGCGGTGGCTGTTCTTATCAGCACTCCTAACACTGCCTCGGGCTGTTCTTCCAAAAAAAAGTAAAAAAAAAAGGAGGGGGCCACGGCCCACGCCACACCCGGGCGCTCTCCATCCGAAGCAGTCCTTCGGGATACAGAGACGATTAGCATGGCCCCTGCGCAAGGATGACACGCCTAAATCGAGAAATGGTCCATCCGAAGCACTACCGGTTCTCCAGCAGTTGCTACTCACCCTCACCTGTACCAATTTTTTTTTTTTTTTTTTTTAAAACGGCGATGGCCTTGAGGTATTATCATCGGACTAACCAGCCCAGGTAAATTCAATATTGTGTCTAATCTGACATCGGGTGGCCTTTTCAGCCAAGGGTGGCCTTGATTGCCTTCAGCGAACCCCCAACGGGGAACACCGGGCAGGGGACACCTGTACCAAATTCATCATCAGCGGCCAAAAGATGCGAGCCATCGGGGAAAAAAAAAAAAAAAAAAAAAAAAAAAAAAAAAAAAAAAAAAAAAAAGCGAGCCATCGGATAGAGAGCCCGCCGAGGGCAGCACGGCGTCTCTACGTTGCGCCTGGCTGAGAGTGTAGACAAGGTTTGACGGGCGCCAGCCAGGGCTAGGTCCCATTTACACGAATTAAGCGCTGTTGACCGTCGATAGCAAAGATCAACGGCCAGGTTCTCGTAATCCGTGCAAGTGGGACCTTGCCCCAGATTAGCCGCGGATCTGGCTTCGTGCCGGGAAATCGCTGCGGGCGGCTCCTATTCGTTAGGTTTTGGCGGCAAAAATAATAATAACAAAGTTTTTTTTTTGCCGTTGTGGCAAGCCAGCACACTCACGGAAATCGCTGCGCGCGGCTCCTATTCGGTAGGTTTTGGCGGCAAAACAATAACAAGAAATATATATCTATTTTTTTTTGCCGTCGTGGCAAGCCAGCCCACTCACGTATCTGCTCGGCGGCTCCTATTCCTTTAGGCTTTTGTCGGCCACAAGCCAAGAAGAATCGGTTTTGCCGTCGCGCCTAACAAAACAGATTAACGCCGTTGTCGATTCTGTCGTTTTCCCGCTCATCCTTGGGCACTGGTGCTCTCTCTGATTCCCCGACCGATCGCCGGACAACAGAAGATCCGCCGCATGCTCTTCCCCATTTGCCACGTGTCGACTTGTTAACTTCTCTCTCGTCTCGGGAAACTAAAGGAGCCCGCCCGTTGTGTGCCAAATGGCGCAGCAGAGCGTACGCTGCTGTTTCTCTTGCCTGCGACCGGAGAGCTGCTCGGCTCTCTTGCGAGGCAACCTTCAGGCGGGGGCGGGTTCCGCCCCGTCTGCTGCCACGTCGATCAGTTGGCGATCGCCGGCTTGGCGCGGAGGCGCAAGGGGGACGTCGTCGCGATCGCAAGCTCGGCGCGCAGGCGCAGGGGTGACGTCGTCCGCGACGAAGGGCGGGTTGGCGCCGGCCACAGTGGGCAGGGAGACTTGGCTGAGAAGCTCGGCGCGCAGTACAGGAAGGCATGCAGTAACCGTAAGAAGAAGACGGGGGGCCCCGCAGAGGCGGCCTGGTGTGTGTTATGCTCAAGAGTACAAGGTGGAGATACTTAAAGAGGGTGAAGTGCACACGCTCACGGTTCCTGATGACATGTCTATATTGGAAGCGGCATTAGATAGTGGATTAGAGCTTTCACACGATTGCAAATTGGGGGTTTGCATGACTTGTCCTGCCAAGCTGGAGAGCGGTCAGGTGGACCAGGAGGGCGCAATGCTTAGCGAGGACGTGTTGAAGGAGGGGTATGCTCTGTTGTGTGTGTCGCAGCCTAGATCTGATTGCAAAATACGAATTATCAGCGAAGACGAGCTTCTGGATGTTCAGCTAGTAACCTCTCAAATGTGACGCTGAGGACAGTGATTGCCTTGTCTATTATCACTGCTTGGGCGTTCTCATTTTCCATTTTTGGCTGCTTTACACTCGTTACATGCTGCTGAAAACGGTACGCACGGACACGTGCGCACACGCACACACACACACACACACACACACACACAGAGAGAGAGAGAGAGAGAGAGAGAGAGAGAGAGAGAGAGAGAGAGAGAGAGAGAGAGAGAGAGAG